CCTTGCTGTCTTCTAAATCGGCAATTACCTGGTGAAGTCGGCTTTCTTCCCTTACCAGCTCTTCAGCAATTCTTTCCAGGGTAAAAGCTTCGTCCTTCCACCTATAGATCAATTGTACAATGCCGGAGTATTCCTGGGGTAATCTCCTTATTGCCTGGAATCCTTTAAAAAGATCTGCCAAGTTGTGACCAACTTCAGCCAACTTCTTTGCAGTCATTCTTATTCTTGCGATGAATAATCCTATTTCTTCATTTGGCGTATATCTAATACTAAAAAATTCATCCAGTAACTGAATTATCCTTGCTCTTGTTTTGGGTTCGAATTGCTTCTGTAGAACTTCCCACGCTTCTTTACCACTTGAACATTCTTGTATCAGCGGCCTGAACTCAGCTTTAATTCCGTAATATAATGTAGTGAAGGCTCTGTTCTCCCTCAGTGTGAACTCCTGCTTTTCACGCCTTGTTGCACTTTTATCTAATTCTTCTTCTTTGTCCTCTATGAAGCTCCAACAATTTCTATCCAGTAACAGCATTTTCATGTTCGACTTTCCATCGATCCCAGTTGTCATGGTTTAACAGCTCAAAACCTTCAGGTAGTAATGACATCTTCAATTAAGTGTGAGCACAACAACTTGAACAAACTTCCAGGTCAGCTTCTTTTCGTGGATAACGGCCCTCTTCACCTACATTCCTTCAATGCTGAGTTGAACTGGATGACTGATTAGCTGTTGGTGCTGGGCCCATAACCCTGTTGGCAGTGGTGATAAAGGCAAAGCATATTTTGCTTCCCTTAAATAAAGCTAAGACTAATCTAAATAAAATTCATGCTTTATTCCGTAAATTAAAATAAAAGAGCTAACACTGTAGCCTTTACATTTAAAATCATTTAGTGAAAGCAAACTAACATAATGCTAACTCATAATGACACAAGATTCGCCGGTACCGGCGTACATATATATACTCAGCCAACCCGCCGATCTTGACGTCATCGGCCAATCAGCGGCAATCACGTTAGCTTACCGCCGATCGACCTCCGATCAAAATTTGCAGGTGGAAAACTAAAGCCAACAATGTGCATGCGTTAATGCATTATGCGTTGACGCATGCGCAGAAAGTTTGTAGCTTTGAGGTCCGGATTATAGATCATTCCAGATTATGGACATCTGGATTAAAGACTTTTGACTGTATTATTAAGGGGTTTATGATTGTTGCAGGATTCTCTTAGAGTAGGAAACTAAAAATAAAAGTGAAAACAAATGCTAAAATCAACTCTAATCAGCTAAAATCAAGAGAAAGTTTTACGCCCAATATTTATTGAAGAAATTCCAATTCCTTTGCCCAACAACTTTCAAAGAGTGACACTTCATCAAGATAAAGCAACAAGTCACACTCTAAAAAGTACCACTGCATTCCTTGAAGAATGAAAACTATATACCTTTTCAATGCATTCCTGCAAAGTCCCTTGAAATTTCACCACGGATGATGTTTCACCTATGTGCCTTTGGTCTCTTGAAAAGAACTCTTTCTAAGCACAAACCCACCATAACTGGTGAACTCTGGAAAGCAGTGGAAGAGGAATAGATATCAATACTTCTAAAAATTTAAAGAAAAGCCCTTCCATCATGGAAAACCCAGAAAAAAAGGCAATCAAGTCGAACATTTACATTTTAAACATTAATTGAACAGCTCTTAAATATTTCTAAAAATGTGTAAACATCCTCTGTATATAATTTTAGTTCATGAATATAAAGCCTTTATTCAAGTTTTGGTATATACCAACATTTCTATATATATATTTTTAATTTATAAAATACATTAGAAAATAATCTAAATGTAAATAGGTGTATATATAATATATTTTTGAGATAGTCTGAAATCCACCATCCTTCAAAAGCACATGCGTATGAAGAAATGATACCAGAAAATAATTGTCAGACAGAACTCCATAGCCTTTAATTATATTTTTTAATGTCTGAATTTCTAATACTGATCACTAACTTATGTCAGATGTCACAAATTGGCGGCCCTTGAAGCAACTTTACAAGGCCTATGAATACATTTCCAGTAAATTAATTAGAATTATTATGACATTATTTATTATAGCAAGAATTTGAAGAAAAGTTTTAAGATTTTAATGATTAACCCCTTCACGTCGACTGTCACGTATACGTGCCAGCAACGAACACACTTATCTACCGGCTGACACGCAGGCGTGCCAGAGCATTGTTGTGTTTTCTACCGACTGTCACGTATTTGTGCCAGTACCTTGGAACGTTTTTCAAACTATAATTTCTGCCACAAGATGGCACTGTATGCCCATATGGTTTCAGATACATGTACATTAGACCTTCTACTCGAAATGAGAGAAGCATGACTCACATACACGTGTTTTTGTTTATATAAACAAACGGGGAACTAAATGTTTCCGAATGGCGTGATTTATGACGTCTCTTTAAATCACACTTTATTCGCACGTGGTTGTTGTTTATTGTAAGTAGAAGTTTTATATGCGCTAAAGTGTTGAGTATTTCGGTTTACAGTTCAGTTTTTAGAAAATAATTAGATCTTGTTAGATGTGAATTCTTACCGTTTCAATGTCGAAGCGTCGAAAATGTTTAACAGAGCATGAAATAGCAGAAATGATGCAAAATATTTCAGATATTGATTCTGAAAGTTTAACTGAAAGACATTTTCCAAAACTTTGTTCAGAAGAGACTGATAAGAAAATGAGACGACGATGCTTCGATGCTTCTTCGTTTGTTCACATTCCCGGAAAAATCCTCCAAAACGGCAAATGAGTTATTACGAGTTCAAGGAATGTAACGTAGGACTGTGTGTAGATCCCTGTTTTAAAATTTTTCATACGAAAAGAGAATTTTAAGTAATATATTTAGTTTTCAGATGTATAATGTTAAAAGTCATAAAATGGTGAGTAATTAAAATAAAATGTGTAAAATATGCATTTAAACAAGAAATAAGGTAATTAAAGTATATATATATAAATATCTATAAAGCATAAGCCATCTAAATACTCTATAGAGCATTATTAAGCAATGCGTTGATACTTCGGAAATTTCATGGATTTAGGCTTAGTAGCAAAAAAGCCCCCGGCCCTGGAGAGACGCTCGTGGAAGATACTGCCGGCCTCCGCGATAAGCGCGCGTTTTCGCTACCCGGCTCGAAAGGGTTAAAGGTCAATTTTACATTATTTTTATTGGCATTAAAAATAAACATGAATAATGCCTTCGAAAATCTACAGATGGAGCTAATTAATTTACACTGTGAAATAAATCTTGTCCAAAGATTTGATGAGACATTTTGAATAGCCCGTTTTTTGTGTTTTTCAAAAGATATATATACTCTCAGTTACAAATTTCTGCAATAAGAGTAATTGCTGTGTTTATTTTAATACATTCACATGTGAACAGTTTTTTTGCAGTTGAAAATTAATAAGTCTAAAAAAAAGAAATAAGACTGACCAATAAGCATCTACAATCCACGATAGTTTCTAGTCATTTTTCGCTGAAATTACAAACCTTATAACAATCAAAATGCCATGAGGTGTTGCAGCTGAAAGTTATCATAGAAAATTTATAATTATTTACATACAAATATATGAGTTTTTTTGAACATATATTTCTAGATATATAAAATTCAAATATATGTTCAAAATATATATAACATATATTTCAGCACTGAAGAAACATTTGATAAGAAAAAGAAAGGTTGTAATTATTTATTCTCAAGTTTTTGTCCCACTTCAGAAATTCTCGTGATTTATTTACTATTAGTCTAAGTAATTTATTTAGTGGTTAATTCAAGACACTAGAATTATTTGAAATAACTATCCATCTGAAAATTTAATATTTAGCTTTCAATACATTTGAATTACAAAACAGACCAACAGCAATGTCTTGCAGATAATAAGCTTTACATTTCAAAGAGAAAATATATATAAATTCGAATTTTTTGCTTTGCATCCTTATTCTTACTGCTCATATGTGTTTTGATAAATATTTAGTAATTAAAACTTCAAAATTTAGTTTAAAATTTCTATTTTTCTTCCGTTAAAAAAAATTGATTGAGCATTTGGCCAGCATGCGATTTGAGTTTGAGACCACTGGCTTAATGAACTGTTAAGGTATTAGTTTTCAATTAAACTGATTCATGGCAGCTATTAAAAAAGAAATGAATTTTTTGTTTCATTTTATTATTCATTCATATATTCAGTATACTAAAACTTACCTCACAAGAATGATTGATAAAGCGTGCAGCATTACCATGCATAGTTGCATCTACAACTTCATCATCATCAATTCTAAACATATAACAGCCAATCCCCTAAAAAGAAAGGTTAACAGGTTCATTCAGGTGAATCCATCTTGGCTTATACATATATCACTGACAAACAACTTCACGACTCGAGGGACTCTTTTATTTTGAACTATTGCAAAACTATAATACATTAAAATATATAACAGTGATACAAAAGCAAAATGGTAAAAATCATTCTCATGCCTTGCTTTGGTAGATACGCTCTCTCTTGTCTGTTAAAACTGATCGTATAACTTCACCAGCATATTCAATAACCAATTCTCCAGGATCAATATTTCTTTTACAAAAGAGACCACGGCCATGGATACTAGACCTAAAATATACATATATTAATTACACTGCAAATTGAATTATTAAATATTATTAACTGCATAATTGCATACAAGTACCTACCGATAAACACCTACTGTTTCCCTAGCAACTGTTTTAAGATTCCTAAAACGCATTGCTATAGGTAAATCCATAGTAGTTGCTCTTCGGGTTGACTTTTGTGCGCCTTCCTCCTCTTCATCAGGAGGCAAAAACAAAGGTCTGTTTCGATGTTCTGAAGCCAAGAAGTTAAACATGTCATATTCCCGACGAGTGGTAAAAGGTTCACTTCGGGCACAGCCACTAGCATTTAGAGGTATCTAAAAATAAAAGGAAATTTAGCATGAAAGCTTTTAAAAAACTACATTTAAAAAATACATTTCTGTTATGAAAATGGAATTCATAATATACTTTTAAGTCTGATAACACATACATACATAGGAAGAAGAAAGAGAAGAGAACAATAAACAAGATGAAACAGCTTTATATGAAAAACAGTTACCCAAATTTTATCTTTATTTTTAAGAAAGGAAGACTGATAATAGCATATAGCAAAAGTATTAAATAAAACTGTTAATATTTTATCTAGACAATTTGACTTTAATTGTCTGAAATACATATGAAGAATTAAGCAAATATGTAAACTGAATAAAAATTTCTTGCAGTAAAGTTACGAATCAGTAAAGAATCAAATTCTAAAAGAAAAGTAAAAATACTAAAGCCCCAAATGGCCATTTTGAACTCTCAATTTTATAGACTTCCACAAACTGCAAGAAAAATCTGTAAGAATGAATGCCATTAATCCTCCAATGTATGTGCATAACTTCAATAACTCCCCCTCCCAACACCCTTAGTAAATGCAGATACATTGTTGAATATGTTACTTGATATGTGTTCACACTATTAAGACAGCATAGAATTTGGTTATTTGTCTTTTGAACTATGATAGAACAAGTCATATTTCTCATTGAAATTCGAATTATTAATATATTAAGTTCTGAGATTATCTTGAATCGTGAACTCAATATGGAACATTAGAAAAATTTTTATTGTTCCTTAAAAAAAAAAAAAAAAAAAAAAAAAAAAAAAAAAAAAGAAGAAGAAGAAGAAGAAGAGAGAGATAAGTCTACACTAAAACATTTAACATTTAACTCACAGATTTAACAACAGCAATCTCATTTAAAAAAATAATAATAACAACATGAGACAATAGTTCTAAATGTAAAATGTAAAAGGTATTAAGTCCTGATTATTGTTGCTGCTGTAGTATCTCATTTATCCAACATATTCAGAACAAACTCACAAATATTATCATGGCAAGGAGCACAATTTTTGCACCTGTCATTTGGCACAAGCCTTGAACACCATATAGATGACAGCATGTCTTCTGCTCTGTCAACGCTGATTATGAGAGAAAGCACCATGGGAAATGAGTCCGATAGTCTTCCACTCCTCTCCTGCTTCCACTAAACGATACGAAAAGGCTTTCGCCTTGCCGTACATTTAGAGTGCCCCCCATGCCACAAAACTACTGCACATCTACAACATCCACACCTTCTGCAAGTTTCGAACCCAGCCCTTTAGTACATAGTCAGAGTCCCTAATCACTATCCCATTGGACGGCTTCCCAATTATCCTTGTTAATATAAAAAGAAAAAGAAAAATTAAAAGTCCACTTTATACCCATGTTTTGAATTCAATTCTAACAATTCAAATCCTTATACCTTCTTCATCATACATTAAACATAGTTTTATGTATTAATACATATATTTAATAGGTTTAAACATTAATATCTGATATTTACATATTTTGACTGGTTGCTATAAATTGACAAAGTTAAAGCACTTCTATCCATAATTAACAGTGTCATATGTTTATATGCTAAAAGAAATGTAATTGATGAGAGGGAGATACCAAAATTTTTTTTTTTTTTTTTTTTTTTTTTTTTTTTTTTTTTTATCTTGAATTTAAATTGTATAAAAATGTAGAAGTTGAAGAAGCTTTATTTGCCTCACACAGAGGAATTACATCTAAACATTCATCAGCTGTTCAGGTAAGAACTATTTGAAAGTTCGCTGCAGCAGTTATTCTTCTGAAAAGGTGTAATGTGTAATGTGAATTTCTGGAATACTGTAATTTGTGTTTCAATGGTGAATGCACTGTTAATTACACAGATTCTACTCCATCATCATCTAATCCTTAGGGAAATGTATTCCAAACCCAAACTCAGTATGTACGCTAAGTACTTATATTTCCACACTTGTAACAGCATAAACCACATACCAGTTTTAAAATTTTGGTTAAAAGTTTAAAATTTATACATATATTTAACAGTTTTTAACCTGTTAAATATATTTAACAGGTTTAAATATTAATATCTGATATTTACATATTTTGACTGGTTGCTATAAATTGACAAAGTTAAAGCATTTCTATCCATAATTAACAGTGTCATAGGTTTATATGCTAAAAGAAAGGTAATTGATGATGTAAAGATTATACAAATTTTATGAGAAGTCAGGTATTAAATAAAATGTAATTTTAATCTTGAATTTAAATTGTATAAAAATGTAGAAGTTGAAGTACAGCTTTATTTTGCCTCACACAGAGGAAATTTACATCTAACATTCATCAGCTGTTCAGGTAAGAACTATTTGAAAATTTCTCTGCAGCAGTTATTCTTCATGAAAGGTGTACTGTGTAATTTGAATCTTCTGGAATACTTGTAATTTGTGTTTCAATGGTGAATGCACTGTTAATTACACAGATTCTACTCCATCATCATCTAATCCTTAGGGAAATGTATTCCAAACCCAAACTCAGTATGTACGCTAAGTACTTATATTTCCAATGTAACAGCTAAAACACACAGTTTTAAATTTGAGTTAAAAGTTTAAAGTTATACATATATTTAACAGTTTTTAACCGTTAAATATATTTAACAGGTTAAATATTAATATCTGATATTACATATTTTGATGGTTGATATAAATTGACAAAGTTAAAGCATTTCTATCCATAATTAACAGTGTCATATGTTTATATGCTAAAAGAAATGTAATTGATGATGTAAAGATTATACAAATTTTATGAGAAGTCAGGTATTAAATAAAATGAAATTTTAATCTTGAATTTAAATTGTATAAAAATGTAGAAGTTGAAGTACAGCTTTATTTTGCCTCACACAGAGGAAATTTACATCTACAACATTCATAAGCTGTTCTTCTGGAATACTTGTAATTTGTGTTTCAATGGTGAATGCACTGTTAATTACACAGATTTACTCCATCATTCATCTAATCCTTAGGGAAATGTATTCCAAACGCAAACTCAGTATGTACGCTAAGTACTTATATTTCCACACTTGTAACAGCATAAACCACATACCAGTTTTAAAATTTTGGTTACCTTTCAATGTAGCTCCAGTCAGCTACTCTTTTTTATTGTCTATTTATTTTAAATTTTAAGTTTTTTTAATCTATTTAATACTACATGATATAAAATCCTCATTCATTATTAATGGCATAAATTGATAGCTCAGCCAAAGTAATAAATGGCAGAATATAAAGCTAATGTGTATGGTCGGTGAATCCTTCACTATTCAGTTCCCTCTCTCTTACTAAGTTAACATTTGTTGCCAACAATGATTTTTAAAAAATTAGTTTAATCAGGTAAAAACTGGTGAATCCTTCATTATTCAGTTCCCTCTCTCTTACTAAGTTCCCATTTTGTTGCCAACAATGATTTTTAAAAAATTAGTTTAATCAGGGAAAAACAATCTTTCAGTTCTTGTGAGTTATCTGAAACTGGCAGCTATGATAAGTAAAAAAATAACTTCTAGGCTATCCTTTGCGTGTGTATGTTATTAAAAAAACAAATTGGATAAGTAATGTAAGCAATAGAAAGGTAGCATAGAGGGTGTCAACAGATTTTTAGAACAATTTTGATAAAGACTTGGGGGGGGGACAAAAGTTCTGGTATAAAAAAATTCTGACAACAGCTTATGAGAAATATTGTTTACTACTCTCAAATTTATTCTTTCAAAATTTAGATCTAGAATAACATTTTAAAACCAGAGCGTGCAGTATGAGAATGTGTAAAAACAGCACATATATTGCATTCTTTTTACCTCCTCAACTTCTTTTGCTGGCCTATGAAACAAGAAATCATAGTCAGTGCAATATTTAGCACCAGGCAATTGTTCCAGAAGATACATCAGCGCAGAATTGTCCAGCCCCATCATATGAAATCCATTTATATCTAAAAATAATATGCACTGTTACATATACTTAAGTTTACAAACACATTATTAGCTTAGACTCTAGGGGTAGTCTTGTAATAAATTAACAGTCAAATTTTATTACAAGACTACCCTTAGAGATTCAGTGAAAGTGATCTATAAATGGGGTGACCAAATGGTTTAGAACAATGTAATTATACAGCTATGCAATAATGCAGAGAAGAAAAGCAAATATTCTAAAATAATTATTGATATTTATAATTTTAATTAGTGCAAATATAATACAAAAATAGTATTTCATTAAAAATTATTTAAATATTTTTGTTTATGTAAAACATAGCATATAAATCTGTAATAGCTTACTTTTTCTAATTTTCAGAAATCAAAAAAGCTTTTTTTAAATTACTAACAATTTTGAAATGTTCTTTAGTAGCATTGGATATCCTAAAAATTCGTCTTAGAATACCTAAAATACTTTACGTGTCTGCTTGAGATATCAAAACATTTTTACCGAGATTATAATTTTCAGTCAACACCAAGAAATTCATTGGCATTTATAATGAAGGAATCTATTTCTGAAACACTGTTACATTGACTGCATGAATAACAAATCAAAATATCATACACATCAACAAATTTTAATTTATTTGGATGATACAGATGTAAATGGCAAGGCATGCCTGGACTGCATCTTTAAGTCTAACAACTATTGGTGACACAATCTTTCTTGCTTAAACTGTAATACTGAAGATAGAAACACTGTTAATTACTGAAATGCAAATTCATCACTGAATTATGCCAATATCTTGTGGAATTTTCTACTTTTTAAGACACTTTTATCTCCTCTTAAGGTTTTATCTTATTAAATAATATGGATCCTTAAATTGTAGGAAAATGATGACACCTAGAACCACAAAATTTTGAACAGTTCACTCAAGCATGTGCACCTATATCAAAGCTTGAATTTTGAATTTGTTTTTATTTCATAAATTGTGTGAATTTAATGAATTTTTTATACACAAAATCACCAATTTAAAAGCAATATGTTGCCAATGGGCAAAGTGTGACATATATGTCTTTAAATTTAATCAATAAACTCATTGATGTAAAAAAAATGAATTGCTCTACCAAAAATAAAACATTTTTATCTTCCAAGCACCATTACCATTCAGCAAAGCATAAAAATTTAATTCCCCCCCCAATTTAATCTGTCTGTTATTGATTAACATGCTAAAGGTTTGGCCCAGAACACCTAAACTTCCCAAAACAGAGCATAAATAAGAGAGATTTTCTTGATTATAATTCTAAAATAACCTTCCCAATTTGTATTCCCAGTATGCTAAAATAATCTTCCCAACCTTGACTCTTTGTCTTTTAATATAAAAGTTACTTTAATTATCTGGATAAATTTCAAGATGCAAGCCTGTGTACTTAAAATTATTGACTGTTATGATATATATATATATATAAAGTTTAGCCACTTACAGGATTAACAAATAAATAAAGTAATAAACATAGTTTTTCATTTCTGTTATTATTACATCACACAAAGATGGACACATTACAATTATATATTTCTAGACTTCTTTCTTTTTTATAATAACTATTTTAGATGGCTAGCCACATAAACGGCAAATAGTATTTAACTATAGCAAATTCTAAATTATAGTTATATTTTAGCAGTTTAACTAACCTTCAGGAGCAACAGTTATCTGCTTCATATGAGATGCTATTCGAGCATCCTGTATTTCCTCATAAACTTTCTTCCAAGCTTCTAAAGAATAAACAAAAATTATAAAATGAAATTCATCACCAAACAATTATTTTTCTAAATTATTCTTATTTAAAACTTAGATTAACTAAATTAGATTGACTGAAAACATATATTAATTAAAAATGATTTATTATTCATTTTTAGTATCATGCAATAAACAGCCTATCATAACATAATTCAATGAATGTTTTATAAAATAAGATAATTAAAACAAACCTCGAAGATCACTAGACTTGACAGTGAATCCATCTTCACTACTTATTTCATATAACAGATATGGCTTGTCTTCAGGAAATTCATTTGCATTTTGTTCTTTCTCTAATTCCCTCATATGAATTTTAAACAGAACAGAATCTTCTTCATCTGATCCTTCATTATAAGAATATATATCTGAGTCTACTACATCATTTGTGTTTTGGGAAATAGCATTGAATGCTTCATCATCTGTTGATGGCAAGATTTGAGCTTTGCCTAAAAATTTTAAAGAAAATATGTATATATTAATAAAATGTATTGTTTACATTAACATGTACTTATAAAGAAGACTATTATTTATGTGCATGGTTTTGAGAAAAAATAAAGCCCACCAGCGGCCGAGCGGTAAAGTCGCTGAACAACTGGTAGTTCGGTCCGAGGTTCGAATCCTGCGAACGGCTGGCTGCATGGGCGTTTTCGTGGTTTTCCCCATGTGTAACGTGTATACGAGCCAGTTTCCCTTAGAAAGTCCTCCACGAAGGCATCCCTCCCCTTAGGCAGATAGCCCTTTGTGTGCTTTGCCATAACTCAACACACCACCACCAGAAAAAATATCCAAAAATGAGAAATACTCTTAGTAACACCGTGGAATCTCAGGATTGCTAAGATTAAATTGTGGTCATTTTTATTTTCTTAATTTATTTTAACAAACTAAAACAATTTCTTAATTTATTTTAACAAACTAAAACAAAATTATGTTTGAGAGGCTGGACAAAAGAAGACCTGCTGATAATTCCTATGCTCATTGGCTAATATACTTGTATGCCAAATCAATAATAGTTCATTTGAGAACTAGAGCATATTTTCAAACAAATCTAGTCTCATAAGCAGAATGATAATGCACCATACTATTCCAATGATAAAAGTCTTGCTTTTCTCATATAAATCATCTAAAAAAAAGGGGGGAAGCAGATTCACATTTTTGGGTGCAATTAATGAAATATTAAACTATATAAAAATCATGAGAGATCTTTAGAACAGAAAGTCTGGGAGAAGCTAGCCCAATTGGCAGGAGTACAACTGAAAATTGGACATTTCCAGCCTAAATCAGAAGAGCTGCATTCCTGATGAAATAATATTATTTCTTCTTAAAATTATTTATTTATTTTTAACTGCACTCAACACAGAGTCTTAGGTTTTATTATATGATCAATGAGTGTTCGTCATTCTATTAACAAAAATTTAAAATTATTAGGGCTTAGCTACAATCTTGTAGGGGGTGGGGGACTGCTTATTCATATAGTGGCACTGAAACACATAGACTGCAATACATATTACCATGCATTCAAACAACATGTTCATTGAAGTTAATTATAGCTGAATTAAATAGACCACAAGAGAAGGATAGAGCTCTGATTCAGCACTCCAGTCTAGCAGCTTTGTTTCATATGCTTTATTTCTTTACTAAAATATTCATTTTCGTTTTTGTTTTATTTCGATAATACTACTTAGTGTTATTTAAAAAGACTGCAGTTAAAAAAAAATTATAATATCAGGAAAGAACAACTGTTAGAAAACACATCCTTGGAGAGCAATAAATACTGTCTTCAATTATGAATATATCATGTTTTATACAGTATCAACCAATACAGTTTTGTTTCATTTCTTTCTCATATGAATACATGTTTGTTGCTATGTACTAAAACATACTCTCCCCACCATCATCAGCAATTTATTATAACGTCTTTTTACTCTTTATAGTCCCTGTTAAGGAACATATTAAACAAAACATGAAAATAATATCTCTAATTCATTTTTTTCTTTGTTCACCCAATATCTATCCTCCAAATCTGCTTTTGTAACATGAAATCAAGAATTAAATTATCACTTGCTAAGCCAAAAGACATCCTTTTATTAAGAAAAAAAGCCATAATATGGTTGTCATTGCCTTTCCAATTTAATATAATTATTCAAAACTGTACATACTCCTCATCAATTTAAATGTAAGGACTTGTTTTAAATTTTCATCATCTTTTGCCAACAATAATATACTTATTGTAGTTTAACCTATCACTTAAACTCTTAGTTTATATTAAAGAACATGAATACGTGCTAGTAAGCTTATTACTGTCTTTCGATTTTCAATATACTTTTTAGATAAAAATTATTCCCCCCCCCCCGGAAAAAAAAAAAAAAAAAAAAAAACTAACAAACCTGACATTTAAAAACTTTCATTTTTTATCAGTATCTTCCAAATTTAGCACAAGATTTACATTTTAATCTCTATTATCTATTTCAGGTTTTTTTAAAAGATTTCTTTAACAGATGGTACAAGACACATGCTAATTATCAATTTTGCTTATAACCACACTGCTCTTTACTGAAAAAGTTATTTATTATTTTCAATATGAATATTTATTTATTTGTTTTTATGTTGGAATTTACAATCATTTTATTTACTGAACACTATAATACCTAGAAAACCAGAATATTTTATGCTTAGATATTGTTTCTGCCTTACGCATAACAAAACATGAAATTAAAAACAAGTTATTAATACCTTACTGATTGCTTCTATCAATTTGATGTGCTGAGATATCACTTTTTATATTTCTCATGTCTATTATAACACAGAGAAGTTACAACAGACTGCAAATAAATTTATAATCCATGGTAAAGAAAATGTTCAATGTTTCAGTTAAAATCCTGACTATCTGGCATTCAATTAACTGTAACTCAAGTAACCACAATATTTTACAAACTTAAGAAAAAAAAGTTAACCATTATATAGCTCATTAGCACACTTATATTGTCGCCAAAGAGAGTGATTTAATGCCAGCAAAGCCACACAATAATCTTGGTGTCATGCAAACCTAATCAATTCTTGATGCACCGGTTTAAGTGAGACCTACCTTCTATGGGACAGAATCCACTTGAATATTTTCAAAGATACAAGATCCTAGCATCAAAATATGGCACAGCGTGTGACTTTACTTGAAAATAATGAAGAATGGTGATGCAAGTTAAAAAATTATAACCTGCCATTAATGTTTTTGTATACTGGGTGCATAATTTCTATCTGTTTATCATCTAAATAAATTAAGTACAAACTGTTCCTCTAAACTTCTGCTGGAATGACTGGTGCAAGTTTGACAACATCTGTGTTAACTTTCATATGAGGCAGAATACATTGACAGTTATGCCCAAAATGCATGTTCTTATAATTTTCAATGCATGCTGTTGATAATCAAGTTGATAACAAATAACATGACTATTTTTATAATTTTAAACCAGAAATTTCTTCTATTCATTTGGCATATTTGTAAATTCTATTTTTTATATATCTGGAATTTTCACATATCCAGAATTCGACATTTCCTGAGCTTTACAGATAGCTGAGTTTTTACCTTATGAAGAAAATTATATACAAATACTAACTTGTGATTTTAATTGCACTTATTACTTAAAAATGCAATTATTGTTAAATTTCTTCAATTAAAATGTCTACTTTTACAAAGGTTTTCATGAAAACTGTGCGACAGTTAAAAGGCACTGACTAGCAGCCAGAAATTACAGTTCAATAAATGAAATCATCTAATATCAAAATGTGCTTTTCCTTTGGCTAAAATACAGATAAGCATGATTTTGACTGCAATATAATTTTATTACTTTTTATGATTTAATAGTGTGATTCAGTCGATAAAATACATTCCTACATTTTAAGAGGGGGTGCTTCATTTTTAGTTTTAAAACAGGATAACCATACATGAAGATTATACTTCTATACTTATACATTACTCAAATTACAGTCATTAAAATAACATGAAATATTACCTTCGTCATCAGCTCCAGAATTTGAAGTATCCTTGTTGTAAACTACAGGCACAAGTGGTATAGCAAATGCTGGTTTCAGAGTTGCAATATTAAGATGGACACTTTTTGGTTTAGATGTTTTACCATTTAATACAGCATTCTTCTTTTTCCATTTTTCTGCTTTCTTAGCTGCTACTTTACGAGTGTGGGCAAAGCGAGTTTTCTTTTCAGGTGCACCATCAGATGTGTTATCTTCAGTAGCACGAGCTTTCCTTTTGGCCATTTCGGCAGATATATTAAGCATTTGCTCTGCAGCTTTTTTCAGGATGTCAACAATATTGGTGTTGTGTGGAACGGAGATGGATGCTATACTACTTTTACTGCAAGAAGAGTGATCTGAAACAGGTGAAGATCTGTCACTTAAAGTAGGAGTTGAGCGACAAGAACTGATAGGTGTTGTATTAGGCTTATTTGACTTTGCATTCAGTAATGTTTGAGCTTGTTCTGGCGGCATATTTTCCAGTAACTGGGTACATGATTTATTCTCTGAATTTAGTAATGAATTGGATTCAGTTTGTGTTTTTATTATATTCAAGGGCTGTAAATGGTTTTCTACTTGAATCTGTGATGGATTTTCAATTGGAACACAGGTTTGATGTGGAGCAGTTTGTACAGTGGAATCAAAAGCAAACTGATTCATATATGGCTGCTGTAACTGATGTGCTGGTACATAAGACGTAAAAGGCTGAGGCTGTCCTACTGGAACTTGAACTATATAATTTGGTGCAGGTTGTGCAGTAGAAATTGGCTGCATGAAAGCTTCTTCCACAAACATCATCTGATTCTGTTGAATATTCATTGCTTGTTGAGGAAACATAAATGGACTTCCAGGAAATGAACTTTGAACAGAAATTTGTTGCACATTTACAGTTGAGAGATGAATGCCAGTAGCTGGTTGCATTTGTATAGGACTTTGTATTACAGTTGGCTGGCCAAAATTTATATTCTGGTTAGGGAAAACAGGAACAATTTGCTCTGGCACATTGACTGCTAATGACATAGTCTCATTGTTTGTAATAGTTATAGATCCAACGTATGATAGATGGGCATTATTTGTAACATCAATAGCGGATAAAAAATTTTGAGGTATAGGTATATGATTGATCATAGGGCCAGGCTGAGGTAATGGATCGGGAGCTGGTGGAATTATTAATGTATTACAAGGTAATTGCATTATATTGCCTGTAGAATTATTACACAGTGCATTACCATAAGCTACATTAAAAGCACTAGACACATTTTCTGCAGCCAACGGTATATTATTTAAATTCACTGGAACATTAGGAGTAATTTTTTCTGAAGAATTGAAAAATTGTTGCACTGGAAGAGTTACTCTGTCATTCTCAATGTGTGGCTTTGGGCTAATTTCCACAGTAGGAGGAATGACAGATTTATGTTTTAATGTATTCTCATAGATGGGCATGTTTGGTAAGACAGACACATTGTTATTAAAATGAGCATTAGAATTAGCTTTTAGTGAAGTTGAAGGATAGTGGCTAGATGAAGGAACTATACTTCCTTGATTTGTCAAAATTGTAGACTGAGGTATCATTAAAGTCTGTTCACTCAAGTTTTCTAAGCCTGGACCTTTGTGAGACTGCTGAGAAACTTTATTTAAAGTTTCTGCAGAAGAGGTAAACTGAAGCAAAGAATCGGTGATACAATTTCGATCTTCTTTAGAAGTGTCATCAGAACATTCATTTGGAGGCATATTTGGATATTTGCTAGTTTCATGAGCACCACTTGAAAATTTTCTACTGGCACTATTTTCAAACTCCTCTTCTGATGAAGTACTACTCTCTGAATCAGAAGAATCAATAACAAAATTGCAAGTATCAGAATGTTTCTTAAAACTTTCTCTAGTGCGATATAACCTTCTACATTTGTTGCATTTAAATGGACCCATCATTTGTGAAACACCATTTATATTCTGATATCCTGAACATGAATTTTCCAATTTTGGGTTACCATAGGCAGCAACTTCCCTTTCACTATCATTAGATTTGAGGGAATTTTTAACAGCTTCGGTATGAAATTCGTTGCAAATATCTTTTTGCCCATTGAATTTTGTATCTTTTTTCCAGGTAGATAAGTATGGTTTTTCACAATCTTCCAGATTTTTTAACACAGAACTCTGTTTTGCAGAAACATTACCAACAGCCTTATTAGCTTTGTTAAAAGTGTCTTGCATTAATGAAGGCATTCTTGAATGCCTTAAATATGAATCATCATTTGAACTGTAACCTGAACTCTCAGTTACACCTGATGTTTCTTTAACTTCAACACCATACACAGGCAAAACAGTTTCACTGATAGAACAAGGTGGTATAACTGTATCTAATAATGACATGATTTTAGGAGGCATGAACTCCATTTCTTCATAATGGTGAGCTTCCTTCTCCCACACACCTTTTGCAACTTCTTTGTGAGCAATTAAATTCAGAAGTCTATTAGGATCTCCAACCTGCTGATTTGCCTTAAGCTCCTTTTCTAATTTATCTATTTCATTCCTTTTAAAACAATGTTTAAATATTTCTGAATCAGTACCTTTAGAAACTAATTGCTTTTTACTATCAGATGTCATATTTAATGAATTAAATTTGAAATTACTTTTATATTTATCCAAAAAATCATTTTTACACAAATTATACATATTTTTAAATTTAACATTATCACTCTCAATTTTTTCATCTCTACATTTACTATCTAATTCATAGAGCTTCTGATCAAATATCATCGAATCATTACCACACTCAATGTTCTGATTTATTCCTACATTACTATGGCACTTTTCTTCTGATGAAAAGTCAGTATTTTCTTTCAAATTAAAACCATTTAACCATACAGACTTTGTCTCATTTTTATGCATGGAAGTTTCGGGAAATAAGTTAAAATACTCTTTATTATCTAGCTGCTTTTTTATGTCATTTTTAGCACTGCAATTTAGAAGTTTTTTATTTTTTCTTTGTCTTTTTGTCACTTTTTTAATAATATAGTAAAGTACACTTTTTACATCATCCATTATATTATTATTTTTTTCTAATTCTTTATGCTGCTTATGTACTTTAGTTAAACTTTCCTCAATACCAGTATCAGAAGGCAATTCAGAAAATATTTGTTTTTCCTCTGATAAATTTTCAGGTGCACTGTGGATAATAGTAGTATTGAGATTCCCATGAATTTCAGAGTTAATTTTTTCTGGCCAGACTTCTGTGATGCGACATGTGTATTTCACCCGAATACGTGGATTTTTAGTACTCCAGAATATCCTAGTACATCTAAAAGAGAAACAAAAAAATTTTCAAAATATTCTTGCTCAACAAGTTTATGACAGAATAAAATAAAATTAAATTAAAAAAAAAAAAAAAAAAAGATACATTCTTAATTTTTTTCTTATTTTAGATATTTAAATTTCACCACAATATAAAGAAAAATCATAAAAATATAAGTATGTTTAAAAAAAGCTTTCAGACCATTAAAATCTTTTAGTTCTTTTAAATAATTTCAATTGCAACTCTTATGCTTTTAGAAAAAGTGAAATTTTAAGTCAAACAACATATTTCAGACATTAATTATCCCAAACTCTTTAAAAATACTTTTGATTATTTAGAGATAGTCCATTCATCGGTGAATGCAGTATTTGGAAAATTAACTGTTTTTAGGTCAAGTGAAGTGAAATAACCATGAAGAAAAATTTTAAACCTTAGTAACTGCATAATAATACGTTTCCCCAAAACAATCCTTTAATCTTTCTACAGAACAAGTTTTACCTTTAGCTTAGTATGAGTGCAAAAGCCAAATAAATGCACATACAGAAAAGTATGAGCAAAACAATGTTCTCTAAAGATAAATTACCTGTCATCTCAGTAGAAACTCTTCAAATTTTTCTTTAATTCCAATTTCTCAGAGCTATTCCTACACTACATATATGTAGTATATATGCACCTCTGTCTCTATGTATGTGTGTCTGCAAATACGTAATGCAAACTTCTAACTTAAATTTGCAATAGCCCCTTAATTCTTTAATTTAATTCAGATATTTCCCACTCCCATTTTATGTGATGATGATGCAGCTAATTTGGATTATTAACAAAGTCAAATTAATCTGTATCACAGAATCTTACATAATGGTGCAATACAGGTACATTTTAGCCAATAAGCGAATAATATTTCAACTGATATCAAAACATTTTTTAAACAAAAACCTTTCGACACTCTCCCAGGCTTTCTTATGAATGTGTCGCAATCCCCCTTTTCTTGCTTCCAATGCATTACTCTTTAACATCCACTGTGTATCTTAAGATACTAATTTCTAAGAGATTGGGTGCAAATTGTACCCATAATGATATGTGAATCAGAATATGCATCTCAAGAATTCATTTGTCCAGAAATAAACTGTGTGAATCTACGACTATGTTTTTGTCTTTAAATTTCATCATTCTGCCTATACAATAAATCTCTTTAATCTATTACAATATATATATATATATATATATATATATATATATATATATATATATACATATAAACACACAGAGATTTAAGTGTGAAGAGAGTAAACACAAGTTTTCCTCATGTACATATTTTAAGTATTTTCCTGCGAAGTTGACAATTCATAAAAATATGAGAACATTAAAATGAAAACAGTAATAATGACACATAAATATGAGAATATAAATAAAATACACCACAAATTTGAATAAAGTACAAGAAAACTGAAATGAAAACTATCACACAACAGTAAATTAAAAAACATTCACATTTACCCATTCCATTTGGCCCTCTTCATCTGCAAACAGTTAATAAAATTAAATCCACATATTTCCACATTTAAGAATTTACACATGAATTTATATTTAATAAAATACAGATATCTCCCTTAAATTATTTTATTAAAAATTTAAAACACTAAAATTTATGATTATATACACACATCTCTAAATATACATACTCTGACTAAAGGTCTAGAATTTTTACAAGCAAAACATTCAACATATAATTTATTCACTTTAAAACTTTTATTTTCCAGAGATTATTCATAGAACCTTAACTTTAATATAAAGTAAATTTAAATATTTTCCTATTTAAATAAATATTCTGAAAAAGTTTTATTTTTGATGATAACATTATTAGAGTTTATTTCCCCCTCTATCTGTGCATTGAAAGGATAATTCAAATTAGCTAAAATAAAAAACTGAAATTCTTTTGAATAGTTCATGAATTAAATCAGCATTTTAAAATGTTGTTTCACTTTTTAACAAGTGAAAATTTAAGAAAAGTATGTGCAGGGATCGTACACATTTTTGCTCACAGAAATTAAGTACTTTTAAGGACCATTAACGAAAAAAATTAAGGACCTATTGGCAAATGGAAGATGAATAAATTCAGTTATTATCTATGCCTGAACTTTACTTTTATAGTACCACTCTAAGTATAAAATAGATCCGTAAGTAGGATGCATAATTATTAAACATAATTATAAAACAAAATTGAGAATAAAATCAACAACTTTTGAGAATGGATGTACCGGGTGGCCATAATAAAACTGACAGTACTCACAGTGTTCTGTAGGGCGATCTATTTTCGAGAATGACGCCACATTTTGTAGGAAGATTAAACAAGAGGAGGGACGAAGGATTCCGCGAAAAAAAATTTAGTTCCAAAAGTCACCGCTAGGGGAATATTTGGCGCTGTGTAATAGAAAATAGAGTGTTAACAAATGTAAATCAATACGGAAATTACCTTTTATTTTGCATTCAAATGAGGTTCAATGTGGGTGCCGTTGTTGTGGACCACATATTGCATTCTGTGCACAGTATGCACAACAGCAGAAAGTAACATGTCTGCAGGAATCTCCCGTACAGTCCGTTGATATGTTATCCTTCAACGTAGTCTGCCAGGTCCTGGACCACTTCCTTGATAGACCTTGGACTTAAGGTAACCCCATAGCCAGAAGTCGCATGGGGTAAGATCAGGTGACCAAAGTGGCCATGCAGTTGGAAAGTCGCGGCTAATAACTCTTTCTGTTGTGAATTTCTGTCATAGCATCTGTTGCACCCATACAGCAACACGTGGAGGGTCTCCATCTTGCATGAAAATGATTTCCCCCAGGCATTGTCTTTGCTGAAGTGCCAGAATGACAAAGCTGTTCAACATGTGGCGATATTTCTCTACGGTAACAGAAAAGGTTTCCGGTCCTGCTGAAGTAATGTTCTCATAGAAGAATGGACCTACGATAAATTCCGCTGTGAACCCACACCAAACAGTTACCTTTGGTGAATGTAAGGGAACTGCTGTGACTGCATGTGGTGATTTGTCATCCCAAATTCAGCAGTTCTGGGTATTCACAGGTCCATTCAGGTAAAAGTGGGCCTCTTCTCCCCATATGATTTTCCACGGCAAAGCATCATCCACCTCCATTCTGGCAAGAAAGGTGAGAGCAAAAGTCGATCGCTTATCATGGTCGGGGTACAGTAACTCCTGTATACGGCTGATCTTGTACGGATAGAAGTTGATAATCTTTCGTAAGATTTTCCATACCGTAAGACATATCCATAATAAAAGGTAATTTTATTCCGTATTGATCTGCATTTGTTAACACTCTATTTTCTATTACACAGCACCAAATATTCCCCTAGTGGTAACTTTTAAAACTAATTTTTTTTTCACGGAATCCTTCGTCCCCCGTCTAAAAATACAAAACATTTTAAATCCAAGAAAGGTGAGAGCAAAAGTCAATCACTTATCATGGTCGGGGTACAGTAAGTCCTGTACACGACTGATCTCGTACGAATAGACCGTACTGTAAGGCATATCCATATTTCGAGCTACTCCACGAGCGCTAGAGGTGGCAGCAATATTGTCTTGTCCTCTGTTGACAATCGCTACTACTTCGATTGTATCCTGTGGTACAGGTTTTCGCCCTCTGCCTGACTGAACCTTCAGAGTACCTGTTTTCTCAAACGTCACAACCATTGCTTTTAGCCCATTAACTGACACAGGACCGTTACCTTTACGCACTTTTTTGTGCGTTCTAAAAGCACGAAGAGCGGCTGACGCGTTGCATTGGTTGAGGTAAAAGAATTTGACCAGTAACGTACGTTCGACTAAAGAGGAGACATTGCACATAAACTTCCAATACGATTGATTTGAAACGTAACACATTGCCTTTTAAAACCCGAGCAGCTGGCATTGTGCGAATGGATGTAACACGAAATTTGAATAAAGAACGTCTTCTTCTGTTCAGCGTACGTGATATTGCAGATCACGAGACTTTTTCGGTGTTTATGTAGATTTTACGCTTTTTTAAAAGTGTTGCCATATTGCATTTGAACTAAATCAGAAAATGTGCATAATAAAAGGTAATTTTATTTTGTATTAATTTGCATTTGTTAACACTCTATTTTCTATTATACAGCGCCAAATATTCCCCTAGCGGTGACTTTTGGAACTAATTTGTTTTTTCGCGGAATCCTTTGTCCCCCGTCTTGTTTAATCTTCCTACAAAATGTGGCGTCATTCTCGCAAATAGATCACGCTACAGAACACTGTTAGAACTGTCAGTTTAATTATGGCCACCCGGTAGATCTGTAAGTAGGATGCATTATTAAACATAATTATAAAACAAAATTGAGAATAAAATCAACTTTAAATCAAATTTATCAAGTAGCATTAAATATTTTACAATTACAATATTTGGACATGTTTGAAAGAAGATTAGTGACTTTTTATTTAAGTTTTATTAACAGTTAGCTTCATACTGATTTTTTATTTTGTCTCATTTTGTCATATACTTCCTCAGCCTAGAGTTTAGTAAATAGTAGGTAGATTTTTATGTCAAATTGCATAGGTTAAAATGAGAACTAAAATCATAATCAGCATGATTCATAACAGAAGATTGGCTGTCTGCTTCCCTAGACAGAGGGCTGATGATCAGAACAAACCTGAAAGCCTGATGTATGTACGGTTTGCAAGGTTTGAAAGTTAGTTGTGCTCCATCTGTCTGATGCAGTTAGTGTTATAGCTTCGTGTAGAGCTTCTTGGGATTTTAATCCAGTTAATATAGTTTAAGGTACCAATAAGCCACTAAAGCACCGCAGGTGACAAGTTATTTTGTATTATTTTAAGTCTCACTAGGTGCAAAGAATAAGTTTTATATATATATATATATCATTTTTATGCTGTATCTTATAATCATGGTAAGGATTAATGAACGGCGATAAATCGCTTTAATATACATAGATAATTTTAAGGCTGAGCAGTTAGTTACAAATAATTA